GAGGCCACCAAACCGAGCCGATCACAGAGGGGACGGGGAGCACGAGGGACTCTGCCTCTTTCAGCAACTTTTATCCAAGTTACCGAAGGCAGCGACCCGGGGCAGGGGACAGGGCTGGGGACGCCCTTGGCAGGCAGGTGTGGGAGAGCTGGTGCTGGACACGGGCACACCGGGCACGGAGGGCAGCCGGGTCGGAGCTGGGAGTCGGGGGCAGCGAGCGGGGTCGGGATCGAGCGGGATCGGGGCAGCGGGCGGGGGTCGGGATGGGGATAAGCGGGGTCGGGATCCAGCGGGGGTCAGGATCGGGATCCAGCGGGGGTCAGGATCGGGATCCAGCGGGGTCGGGATCGGGATCGAGCGGGGGTCAGGATCGGGATCCAGCGGGATCAGGATCGGGATCGGGATCCAGCGGGCTCGGAGCCGCGGGCGGGGCTGGGGCCAGCAGCGGGTCCTCCCCCCCGCCAGGGGTCGCTCTGGCGCGGCGGCGGCGGCACTTCCGTCGCGGGCGGCGGGCGGGCGATGGCGGCGCAGTTCCGCAGCTACGTGTGGGACCCCGCGCTGATCGTGGCGCAGATGGTGCTGCTGCAGGCGGGATACTACAGCTCGCTCGGGCTCTGGCTCGCCCTCCTCGGCACCCTGGGCAGCACCGGGCCCTCCCTCCAACAGGTGTTCAGCGACGAGGTGAGGGCGCGGCCCGGGAAGCCGCCGTGGGCACAGGCCGCTGGAGCGGGGGGATTTGCTGGGGCTCTCCTGAGGGAGACAGAGCCCGCTGCCGTGTGGGCATTCCCGGTGATAGGGACAGTCCCTGGGAGCACCCCGGAGTGCTGCCCCGTGTAGCAGCCCCCCAGTGCTGACCTGCTGTCTTGTGTAGGTGCCCCAGTGTGGGGGTAAAGCCGTCCCTCTGAACAGGTGGTGCCCGGCTAAGACAGCACTAAGGTGCCTGGGGGGAGGTAGCCCTTATATAGGGACAGTCACCTTGTACAGATGGTGGCCCTGTGGAGAGGGAGCACCTCGCTCTGTAGGTGATACCCCTTATAGAGATACCCTTTATAGGTACTCCCGGTATAAAGACAGCTCCCCTGCCCCCTAGGAATAGCCCCTCTGTGCACCCACATCCTCCACCCCCAGTTTAGGCGGCTCCCCTCAGCACAGAACCAGACCTTTCCCTTTCCCGTAGGTGCCCCCAGACAGACAGACAGACAGACAGACATGTCCAGCTCCTCCTGTAGATCCTGATCCATGCAGGGCTGTGCCACGGGAGACTCGGGCTGCGATTTGTGCCGCGGGTTCCTACTAATAGTCCCATGTAGATTTTAGGCTTCTCAACCCCGCCGGGGAGGCTCTCCATGATGGCTTTCATCCTCAATGCACTCACCTGGTAAGTCTGCAGCTAGCTGGAGCGCCTGCATCTTGTCCTTTCGTACCATTAAGCTGTAAAAGAATTCAGTGTGGTGTACTGCCTCTCTCCAAACATCTCCCAAAATCCCTGTGCCTTCTTAAGCATGTCTGCTGAGGGCAGTGGGGAACTGCTGACTCTTGGCTTTCTAGAACCTGGAAAAGTCTTCACTGCCTCAGTTTCCCAGCTGGGAATGAGATTTGCTTTTGTGGGAGATTTTACTAAAAGTTAGTATTAATGGATCTCAGCAAACACTGATCTATAAACACGAATGTATTAGGAGATAGTCTATAAATTCCTGCCTGTTCTCTGCATTGAAATCTAATTTTCCTGCCATCATGTAATTAAAAAGCTGTAAGCCTGCAAGTCTTGCTGCAGCAGCCAGGAGAGAGGTCAGAAACAGCCCATTCTTAAAATATTTGAAGAAGTTTTAAACCCACTGCATAATCAGCACTGACAACTGCTGATAGCTCTTGCTGCAGCACCTTTTCCAAAGGCCTGGTGGAGCTCATTGATCCCTTGCCTTTCCTTTGCAGTGCCCTGGGCTTGCTGTACTTCATCCGCCGAGGGAAGCAGTGCCTGGATTTCACCGTCACCGTTCACTTCTTCCACCTCCTGGGCTGCTGGATCTACAACTCGCGCTTCCCCTCGACGCTGACGTGGTGGCTGGTGCACATCGTGTGCACGGCGCTGATGGCGGCCATCGGGGAGTACCTGTGCATGAGAATAGAGCTCCGGGAGATCCCCCTCAACTCCGCCCCCAAATCCAACGTATAGACAGACTGCCTCCGGCAACCACATGCTGCGTTTGGTCATTGTTCCCAGCACAATGCATCCAATGCCTCAGAATCATCCCTCGAGAAGCACAGCAGGTCTGTTTAGACTTTATGATTTTTTTTTTTTTTTTGGACCTCGGTGACTGCATGAGTGTGAGCGTCTCCTCTGGCATCGGCTGACAGCGGGGGAGGAGCAGATGTTTATTTTGTTAACACAAAGTATTAATATGACTGGATGGAGAGTGTGCCCTTAAACTCTTCGCTCACGAGACTGTTGAAAGCCAGGTAGCAAAACTTGGTGTGTGAGGAGCATTTGGAATTGAACTATGTGGGAGTGCCCTGAATGGGTAACACAATGGTCAGCTCTTCTTGCTGGAGCTGGCACGGTGAGCAGTGGGGCTGGGAGCTGCTCTTCCAATCTGACACTTCTTTGGGCTTTGCCTGGGAAAAAGTCAAGGAAGTGAATGTGAGGAAGTCAAGGATGGGGAGAAAGAAAATAGTTATACTTACCTGAATCACCAGCTGAGACACTAAATAATAACCTGTAACGTTAGATGGGTTTGTTTGCTGTTTCCATGTTTGATACACAGAGGTGACAGACAGCAGTTTGCTGAAGAAATCTTTTGTAATAATAAAAATATAATGTTGCTGTGAGTGTTATGGCTCTCCTGGGAAGCTGAGCACTTCAAGAAATACCAGAGTGTCTGTATCATGGCAACAGAAGGATGCAGCCAGAGAACACTTGGCTGTGAGGTGCCCACTGTCTGGGGCACATAAAATTTCCTACAATAAACATTTCATACCTCTGCTCTGAAAGGAAGGCATCACTGAGTGCTGTCTTGGGAAGTCAGCTGGCATAACCCCACTTCAGAGGGAGTGTCAGCAGTCCAGGATCTCCACATGTCCAGCCTGAGCCTGGAGCTGCCCTGGGGAAACCTGCAAAAGTGTCCTGGAGCCATGCTGCTCTTCCCCCTTGGATGGGCTTTCCCATCAGGCTTCAGCAGTCCAGCAACAGGTCTTGCTTGGTAGAGGTGATGTTAAGTAAGAGACTGTTGTTATTTCTTGAATATTTAGAGGTCCTTCAAATAAACTTCACCAGGCAGGTACATCCCCTTACTGCTGAGGGTCCAGAGCTGGGTAATTCCTCCAGATCCAACAGCCCAAGCAAGCAGCCCCACATCCTGCCTGGTTTCCACTGAGGGATGGCCATGTTGTGCAACCCCAAACAAGGGCAAAGCCAGGTCTAGAGACAGATTTTTCTCCCATGCAGCATCTTGCTGCAGTAACTTCCCTTTGTATGTTAGTATTTGTAAGTTTTAATTTGCATAAATCGTTTGCTAATTCAGTTTGTTGAAAAGTGGTGGGATGATGTGAGACTGATAAACTCTCTGAAGCTGCTCTTTTGAGTTCTGTCATGGGGCAGCTGAGCTGTATTTCAGTCCCTGCTCTCCCACTCAGACACTGTAAATGGGGGCAGGATGACATCCTGCTGCTTTACATACTCAGCAGGTCTGCAAAGGAGGATTTCTGTCTAAACAAGTGTAACCTGCACTTTTTAATTTATACTGGGGGATTTCACCAGGAGTCCTTCCTGAGCAAAGCCCCTGTAAGCAGGGTTTCAAACAGCAGCAGCCTTTCAGAGGCAAGAGTTTACACAAGTGTTTCTCTGGGCAGGAGCCAGCCTGGAGGCCACCCCGAGGTCACTTCCTAGGGCTGCCCCTGCAGCAAGACAGTCCATCCCTTCCCAAAATCTGCTCATTTTTCACGTACAAGGATACTTGCCTTTCTCCCAGTCACCTCAGCCTGGATATGAACTGGTCTCCAGTAGGTGCCAGTATCTGCCTCAGAAAGGAGCCAGGAGTGTGCTGTGCTTGGGATCAGGGCGGGGAGCAGAGGGCAGTGCTGCCTCGGGGTGACGAGTACTGCCGTGCTCTTAGTCATGTTTTAAGACTCCTGCAGGGTCATTTTATCCTCTGCTGCTTCTTGGTGCTATTCTTGAGAAAGAACATCCCAGTCCTGCAGGGACAGGGAAGGCTTGCAGGTTTACTTCAAGGCTTAATACCGCACCAAAGCCTTGTGTGAACTCCTGTGTTCAGGGCTGTTCTTGAGGCAAGCGGGAGCTGAGGATCCATTACAGTGAATTTGAGAGCAAGGAGACAAAGCCACGTTCTTCCAGCTGCTCCCAGAGTTGCTGTGGGTCTGTATTAACAGAGCTGCCACCTTTGTTCTCCTGCAAGAACAAAGGTGAAGCCTTTGGACTAAGGAACATTTAACCCATTTCTTTTTGAATACCCAAGATAGGCTGTAACAGCTTCAGCGGCTTCCCGGGGGGGAAATCTGGGGACAGCTTTGTATCTGGAGAAACTCACAGCAAAGCCATGAGAAGAATCCTTGACAAATGGGGCTTTAACACTGAGGGCTGCAGGACATCCCAGAAGCTGCACTGCACCACCATGAAGTGTGCTGTAGGATCAGAAATCTTTCTGAAAGGCTGCTGACTGCCTAGGGGAAATGAACCTGTGTATTACTTTTTTTTTTTTTTTTTTTTTTTAAGGACTTCTACTTTAATTGTCCTAGTCATAGAGGAAGTTCTGCTAAAAATGAAATACTGATTGAGGAAACTCATCACTCCCATACTGTGAGACCTAGTTTTCTCTCACATGCTTTCAGTCAGATTTAGAAGCACCTTTGGCTTACAAAAAAAATCTGCTGCTCCATACCAGAACAGTGGCAGATGGTCTTTGTTTCTTAATGAATCTTTGGGGGTTTTTTTTGTGTGCAATAGTTGAGGGATTTGCTTCCAGGGAAGATATGTCCCAAGACCTGTTCTTCTCAGAGACAGTGGCAATCATCCATTTGCATCCATAGTTTTGCAAAAAGATTTCTTGCCAATCTGATTCTTTTACCTTCCCTTTCCCCAAAGCTGCTTCAATGCAGAAAATTTTAAGAGAGGAATTGCCAAATTCAAAGAGAAGGCAAGGGTTGTGGGATTTTATGGGGCTGTGCTTACTTCTTTTCCAAACGGCATTAAACAGTTGTTCTAAACAAAGAACAGGTACAGGATTCAGAGCCAAAATACTCCAGTCTTGGTTGTACATGACTCTCCCCTGCTTCAGCTTTCTCTAGCCACTAAAGTTAACAGGGGAGGGGGGAACAGGATCAAAGAAAAAACAGTGCTGTTGGTGTGGAGTACAAAGAAAGAAATGAAGCTGAATCTGAGTGGTTCACTCCAGGTTTTACCATGCTCTGATTTACCTTTCTCCACTGCTCACCCTAAGGCTTTGTGCCCCAGATGCTGAGTACTGAATACATAAGTAACAACTTGTGCACTGAAGTGCTGTCTGAACACCAGCTGCTCTGCCCTGCCTTATTTCTTGGAATTTGCTCCAATTTCTTCATTATCTCCTGCTGCTGCTGCAGGAGCAGAGGGTCGAGGGATAGTGAAGGTAAGAGGAAGAACACGTGAATGCCAGAGGGAAGCTGCATGACTCAACACCAGTGTTAGGACTAAGATCCTTTGCTCTAGAAGCTTGCCCAGTGCCTGGAATGCTTCTGGTGGGATCTGTGGGGTTAGCAGGGCCCTGGTTTCCCTGCTCACACTGAGCACACACCCCAGGGCCCTGTGCAGCCAGGCAGGGCACAGAGATCCATCGGCATCCTTAAAACACAGACTGCCTTGGGCTAACCAGTAATGTTGTGTTTCTCCAACCTACTCAGAAACCACTTGCAAACGTCTCTCTGTTCCAAATTGTACTTCCATGCTTGTACTGAAGCTGCAAACTGACAAGACTGAGCCACAAAGGAGACAAGAGGAGACTGTGCTGTCGAGCAAGAGTCAGGACAAATAACTTCTGCCATGCTGTTGGCTCTACAACAAGCTTTAATACTCTGGAATTACACACTTCTACCCACAGCTGCTTACAGGTACTTTGGGGAAAGCTTTAAAGCAGAAGAGTTGCTATAAATCCCTTTTGTCCTCCTAGCTTGATACTCCCTCTCCCCCCAAATATTTTTCACCTCTGTCCATAGAAAAGGGATTTACACATAACACAGAAGTTAGTCAGGAATTCAGATGTGTGCAAGAGAAGTCATGCAACTGTGATTATTGTTCAGCAGGGGTTTTACCACGTCCTCAAAGAAGAAAGGCCAGTACAGGGCAGTAAGGTCTCCCTTCAGCCTGTGACAGGACAGACACCATCCCCTGCACCTCATGGAGGGGTGGGAAGAACACCCATCTTGTTTTGAGTGTCCAAATCAAAACCCTGGAGAGTTGATCTGGTGGAAAGAGTCAGCAAAGTAAACAGGTTTCCTTCCAGTTGCCATAAAAGAGTGCAGAAGTATCCAGCATTCATAATTTTCCAGAATTTATCATTTCTCCCCAAATCCTGTGCCCTGTATTTACAAGTTCCCAAATCTCCCGACAGCCAGATCTGTGCCTGTGCCTTGAGGCAGAAGGGGGAGAGGAGTTACTCCAAATTACAGAGACATTTCAACACCCTGGAGATGCTGCCAAGCTCTTCCATGTCTCACAGGCGCAGGATGGAGCCGGGAGTTTCTGAGCTCCACACAGTGTATTCCTCAAAGGTTTGGAAAATAGATCTGAAAGATGCCACGCCACACACTGCCACCACTTTTGTTGGGATACTCACAGAGCTGCAGTTTATAAGTTCAGCCAAGTGACGATGAGGGGGATGCTGAGGATGGAAATGTTGGGAACGCGGGTCCAGGCAGAGCTTTGGGCCATGCTGGGGCTGCAGAGGTCAAACAAACTGCCTTGAAATTTGTTTTTTCGGGACTCCCTTCTCAGCATCTCCCAGACAGCTGCTGCTTCCTTCTGGCAGTCCCAGAGCACTGTCAGGGCACAGGTGTGGAATTCATCCCAATACCTGCAGCCAGGGAGACACCACACTGTCAGTCCCTTTGCACTCCCACAGTGTGGGATGCCAGGGAGAGCCTTGCTGCCCTGAGCCTGCCCCCTGAGCAGCAGCAGCCTCGTGTTTTGTGCAAGTTTCCCAGACTATTCATCCCCTCCATCATCTGCCAGAGCATCTTGGCTAAACTTCCAAATCTCAAAACACTGAAATTATTTATTCCTTTCCCCCCCTCCCCCTTTTCTCTGGAAGTCAATAAAATCCATTATTTACCATCAGCAAATGTTTCCCTGAGTATCTCACACAGGCTGCAAACAAAGGCCCAGCACATCTCATTCATCACTTTCTCCAAGCAGAGTCAAGGGCACATGGGAGCACAAAGCATGGAGAAGGACAAGAGCTCCCACAGGCTGTCTCAGCTTTTCCTGAGGTACAGGCAGGGGCAGGAGGAGTTATTCACTGTGTTCTCATTAGAATAATCTCCATTTATCTGCTGGGTGTTACTTTCACAAGTAGAAGCTGTTGAGTGGAAAGAGGGTTTTGGAGACTACCAGAGGGAAAAGATAAAACAGGCAAAGATAACCCATGGTCCTGCAGGAATAAAGCAGGAGCTGCTCTGCTGTCCTGTCCCACATGGGCTGGGCTGGGCACCACGCCCAGCTCCCTGCAGACCGGAGTCTAGAGGACAGGAGCAATTGCTCTGACACCTTCTCTGTCTCTGCCAACACACCAGGCACACATGTCACCTGTCAGGAAGGGGATGCAGTCCAGCTGGCTGAGAGGGGACACTGTGCACCTGTAAAGGACAGCACGGTGCTGTCTGAGTGCACTGTGCTGGAGGTGACACTTTGTGCAGACAGACAAACCTGAGCACTCTGCTTGCTTAGACCCGGGGCTTACGTCAGAACGCCAGCTGTGAGGGAGTTCATTAAACAGAGTCACTGTGGCAGAATAAACGTCCCCAGATAATGAGAAAAGCTGGTGCCAACCCTGGCAACCTCCAGCACTCGCTCCCGACCTGCAGCAGTAGCAGGCAGCTCTGACAGGTAAGAGTTAAACCTGACCTATGTCTTCAGGCAACACAAGCTCAGGAAGGTGAAGGGGAACAGCAGCTCTGGCCTGGATCTGCTTTCAGCTGGGAGGGCAATTCCCAGCCTTTCACCCTTCACAGCCCCCATCTGCTCAGGCAGGCAGGCTGCTGGCAAGTGCCCTGCCAGGCCGGCTCTGGGCAGCACTGCACACGAGCTGAGACACCACCAGCCCCCCAAGCAGCTCCTGGCTCCCTGTCCATCCCTCACCCACCCTCCTGGAGAGGGGACCAGCTCCAGAAATGTTTTAAAACAGCCATGGATAAGGCTGAGCATCAAAGGTAAATAATTCAGAAATATTTCCTGGCAGGAAGCTGGGACATCATCAGCTTCCTGCCAGGGAAGATCCCAGGACCTGTTTGGGGATGGTCTGTGCCTCTGAGCTGCAGGAAAAACTCAGCTCACACGTTTCACATGAGCTTCAGCAAAGGAATCACTCCTCCAGCAGCCAGCAGCAGCATGGGCTGGGCTGGGCTGACTGCTTGGGTATTTTCTAATACCAAGAAGCCTCTTTTAATAAAACCCCAAACAAACCAAAAAGTATCAATTCTATCCAAACCAGAGCAGTTCCCACTGGAACCCACCCAGGCAGGCCCCAGAGAGGCTGTTCGTGCCGATCCAGGCTGTCTCCTGGAGAAGGGGGAATACAGAGCAGGTCACAGCCTGCAGGGTGGTTTCCCGCAGCTCAGAAAGCACGACCCCAGGGCACTCAGCCCTCCACCTTGCTCTGCCAGGTTTCCACCGCCCCCAGGCACGTGGGTTTTCCCTTCATTGCTACCTGCATTTTCTGGTAACTCCTGTTTACTCCCCACAGCTCGCTCTGGAGATTCAAAGCTGCCTCCATTTATCTCTGTGAACATTTTACATCCACCTTGCTGCTTCTCATCATCTGCTTTTTAATCGAACTTTTCCCCAAACCTGCCCAACACCACCCCTCATTGCCCAGCTCTTCTTCAGTTCTGTTAAAGTTAACATCCTCCCAATATCTCAGGGCACCACTACAAACTCGGGCAAACCAGGGCTGGGACAAATCCAACCCTGAGGATGAAGGGTCTAGGCAGGGAGGGAGAAAGCTTGGTTTGGGCTGCACGTGGTGGCCGGTGCAGGCTGCCCCCGGCAGCGCTGGGCACCGGGGCAGAGCACTGCCTGAAACCTGGGGTCCAGGGGAGATTTTCCGGGGGTGCAGAGCGGGTCGGGTCCCTCCAGCCCCGCTCCTCCTGGCTGCAGGCATGCAGGGACTGATGGGACCAGTGCTGGGGGCTGCAGCTGCTGCCAAGGACCAGGGATACAAACTCCTGTGGGAGAGATGGATGGACAGACGGACAGAGAAAAGAAGCTCGCTGGGTCAATCTGAAACCGGAGTGAGGTGTGGAGCACATGTGTGTGTGCAGGCACGACGGGACTCGAGAGGGCAGGAGACCGGACAGGGACAATGCCAGAAGCCAGGCTGGCCGTGCACCGGACTCACCTGCAGACCCGGCGCAGCCCCTGCAGCTCCATGCCCTCCTCCTCCTCGTACGTGGCCATGCTGTCCCCCAGCTTGAGGACGCAGTCCGAGAGGCCGCGGTAAGCGTCGGCGCAGGCGGGTCCCGCTGCCAGCAGCCCGGCCAGGTGCCCTGCCAGCACCGGGGGGCGAAGTGAGCACCGGCACCTCTGGGGACAGAGCCCACCCCCGTCCCGGGGTGCTCCGGCTGGGCGAGCGGCCCCTTCTATGCGGGACAGCGTCGAGCCCCCGCCGCCCCCCGGCTGTGCCCGGCGTCGTCGGGGTCTGCCCAGAGCCCGGTGGACACGGGGGGACCCCGAGCCCAGTCGGCCCGGGCTGCCACCCCGACACCGGAACCTGCGGCGGGGGACAGCGACCGGGGGGAGGACGGCCCGCGGGAGCCGCCGGGGGGAGACGAAGGGAGAGAGGGAGGGAAGAAGGGGACACATCACCGCATCACCCCCTCCCCCCGGACACCGCCCGGTCCCTCCGCCCCGACCCCCGCCCGGACATCCCCTCACCCAGGGCGAGGAGCAGCACGGCCGGGCCCCGCCGCTGCCCCATCCCTCCGCCGGGCTCGGCTCCAGCCCCGCTCCGCTGCCGGTGCCGGTGCCGGTGCCCGCACCACCGGGGCCGGCAGCGCTCCCCTCCCTCCCGCCTCCGCGGGGAGGGCACCCGTCCCCAGTCGCCGCTAATGAGCGGCTTCGGCCGCGGCTAATTAAGGAGGGGGCTGGGCCGAGGCTGTCGAGCGTCCAGGGGCACCCCCGGCCCCTCACCCCGCAGCCCCGGGATCCCGCAGCCCTGCACCTCCCTGCATCGCATCTCGCAGGGACCCTCTGCCAGCGCCCACCGCCGCCCACACTCTGCATCCACCTCCAGGAACCAGCACCCACGGCGCCCCGGTACCATCATCCTCACCCCAAAGGCCCCCACCCCCTGCCCACCGCAGCCTCTGCTGCCCACTCCAGCTGTGACACCAGTGGCGGACATGGGACAGTGCCCGCTGCCAGCAGCAGGATTCCGGGCAGGGCGAGGATCTCTTTGCTTGGCTTGAGTCTCTTGAACAACACAGGAGAACGCAATGAAGGGTGGGAAGAAAAACCCAGAGCGTTTGAAGGGTCAAAGGACTAAACATCAGCACCTACAGCTCCAAACCTTCTGCCCAGACCCTGGCTCAGCAGTTCCCAAGGCTGCATGGTCTTTGTGGCATCAGTTGGGATTTTACATGTCTGTGGCTTGATCCCAGCTCTTGCTCCAGGAATCCCTTTGGCTCCAGCAGGAAGGGGAATAGAAAGTTTCCTGCCTGTTTTGATGGCGTTGCTGTGGAAGCTGGTGATGTCAGACCCCTCTCTTTGCTGGTGACAGCTTTGCTCTTGGGGAACTGCTTTGCACCAGCCCATGAACATGACCAGTACCAGGACCCTCATAAGTGGGACCCCTCTGTGCACGGGTACCCTCACCCCCGGGGCAGTTGTGCCACCACACCCACACACCTCAGCCTCAGGAACCCAGAGCAATTGGAAACCACAACTCTGCAAACTGCAGGTACCCAAATCTAATGCAAAAAGAGCTGGGGTGTGAAAACCAAAGACTATTTCTTTGCAAAAGGTCAACAAAAACAACGAACTACAACATTTATTTACAGATGAGTGCCATGTGCTGCATCTTCATCAGCCCTGGAAGTAAATCAAGCAGCATGTTCATTTCATTAGGCACATTCCATTTGCCACCAGCCTGGGACACGCAGGGGAGAGCCTGGCCCAGAGATGTCACCACATGCCCACAGCTACCTGCAGGGACAAGCCAGCCCCAAGGGCTGTTCCCGAGAACCTGCACAATGCCCCAGGACACACAGGGCTGCTCCATGGCACCGAGAGCAAAGTCTGTGCAGAATAGCTCAGCTGCCTGAAAGAAGTGGGATATGATGAAGAGGAAATTCCTCTGGGACAGGCACCCTCTTCCTTGCTCTGCCTGCTCCTTTGGCCGAGGCTGGTGTCCTGCTGCCTGCACAGCACCTCCCAGCCCTACCTGCTCTCGTGCCAGCAGCTGGCAAGCAGGAATGTCTGTATGGCATGGGGCCCGAGGACGTGGGGACATGACACCCCCGGGGCTTGGCAGGAGCCTCTCCCAGCAGCACACAGGGACTGTTAGCACTGCGACAGGGGGTCTTCCCTCGGGACAGGGCACGGCCAAGGAACTGGCTGGTTCCAGGCACAGAGTGCTGGTGCAAACCCCATCCAGGCCCCCCCACCTCGCCTCGCCTGCGGAGATTCTCGTTTCTCGGCAGCCACATTCCTTTGAGGGTGTTTATGGCTTTTCTGTCTCCCCGCTGTCCCAGGCTAAAATCGCCCCTTTTAAGGGAGCCGCAGGACCACGGGTTGCTGGAGCTTTGCCGGCTGCAGGCTGCTCCCTTGCAATGTGTCTCCTCATTTACTGGAAAAGCAGCCTTGCCTTGCCTTGTTTTTTTTTCTTGACTCCACAATTTTCTGATGGAGTCAAGCTGCAGCTCACTCCCAGCCCCATCCACGCATGCCTCCCAGAGAATAAATCCATTTTCACCGGCAAGTGATTCACCTGTGCCTGGAACTGGTTTGCCTTTTCCTGAGCTGCCGATTCCTCCCCAGCTCCATCCTCACCCCGCAGCTCCCTGACTCACCTCCCAAACCTCTAATAAACGGGAAAAACCTGAGCAGGAGGAACAAGTCACCTTACATTTTCTCACAATGACAGGGGCACTTTGATGCTGCCCCCCCCGGGGTCTTTTGGCAGGAGCTGGACTCCGTGTCGTGGGGAGAAGAGGTGACATTCCGACCTGGGCTCGTGACCTGGGCATTTGCGGTAAGGGCGGGGGCTGTTGACACCAGACAGTGCTGAGAGCCTGCACGGGAGGCACAAGGGAGGCAGGGATGCTGCGGCAGCCGAGACAGACCCTGCAGGTTTCTGGCAAGATATTCTTAGGGCTCCGTACCAGAAGTGGAGACTCTCCACTGAGTCCAGCGTCACTTCTGTCCCCTCTCATCTTTTGGCCCGGGGCAGGCACGCTTTGCTAGGAGTAAAAAAAAAAAAAAAAAAACCTTATGTAGAGCTGGCTTGCCTGCAATGGTTTAATTGGAATAAAATGTGTGCCCCGCTGAGCGGCACGGCTTGTGCTGAAGAGCCAGGATGAGTCAGGCTCGGTGCCGATGATATCAGTGCTTTTCCAACGCCCTCCCGGCAAGGCAGGATGAAGGGGCCACGACAGCGAGGGATCTGGGAACGTGTCACTCTGCACGGGCAGCACCCATGTGTGCTGTCCCCGCAGCGGGATTCGGGATGCACTGAGCTCTGGGGACCTCGGGGTGCTCCGGAAACTCGTGTGCGCACAAACAGCCTCCACGCCTCGCAGCAGTGCCTGCTGCCAAAAGACACAGACGTGTCACATAGCAGAGACCTGAGCTAATTCCCCGGCCCTGCCTCCTCGCCCCTCCGCTGGCAGGGCCGGCCAGGGGGGCAGTCGGGACGGTGCCGACAGGCTGGTGCTGCCCGGAGGCCACACGGAGCTGTGGAGAAGCCAGCGCCGGCAGGTACCCAGCAGAGATTTGGTCATGCAGCTGCTCAGAGACCATAAGCCCCCACCCGTGCTACACCAGCCCGGTCCCCCCAAACCGCAGTGCTGGCACCCCGCACTATGGGCAAACATCAGGCAGGAAGGACTGGGAGTGCTTATGGACAGGGATAAAACATTTACGTGGACAAAATTCAAAACCACCGTGAAAGCTGAAGCCAGCCGCGGGGTGCAGGCTCCGGGTACCCAGCACAAAGCCGGTTTTCGGCAGCAGGAGGTCCCAGGGGACATAGGGGGGACAGCAAAGCAACAGTAGCCAAAATAGAGCTGGGACACAAACAATACCCAGTTATCTTTTGTTATGCAGACAGCGAGAGGAACACACTGAGAACGGGACAGGCGGGACACGCCACAGACACTGGAAACTCCCTTCCAGTCACAGCAAAAGTCACAGTGGATGTCCCCCACTCCGGCTTGGCACTGACCAGGCTCCGGGCAGAGCTGGCGCTGGGCACGGCGAGGCACTGACTCACCCTGCTGAGACACAGGAAGGAGGCGGCGGCCAAGTCCTCGGCCCTGCCAAGGAGCAGCCCCGATGTGCAGGGCTGAACGTGGGAGAAAGCACCCAGAGTGGGGTCTGCCGGGGATAAGGGTCTCACGAGGCCAGGAGTGAGATGGGAGGGCCCATCAATACATGATGCTGTCCTCTCTCCCGCGGGAATGCGTGAGCTGGGCATTTTGAGAAGATAAGCAAAGAAAAAGCAAGCATGAATGGTAACTGCTCTCCGTGCCCAGGCAGAGCCCCTGCCTCCCCCCGCCTCCCCCTGCCCACCTCCTGCCACGCGGGGCACATCTCCTGCCGGAGCAGGGCACCTGCAGCCCACCACCGCGGGCACTGATCTCTGCCTGGGCGGCTGTGGGGGGAGGGACCCTCTGCAGGGACCCACTCGGGACGGGGGACCCTGCATGGGGACACTCCGTGGGTCCCGGCAACGCAGAGAACCGGGTACCGCGCACGGAGACCCTGCTCTCATTGGGGACCCTTCACGGGGACCTTCTGATTCTCCCTGTGCACGGGACACCCCATCCCCGCCGCAGGACTCCCGGCGGCCCCGGGCTGCGGGTCCCCGGCGGGCGGGGGCGCGGTGCCGCGGTGATGGGCGCGCCGGTACCGCCCCGTGCCGCGCCGAGCG